ACCTGGGAGCCAGGTAGTCACCATGTTAGACATCAACTGTGGACGGTGGAGACCAAGGGCCTGGGAAAGACGTGGGCGAGGCGTAAGTTGGGAAGCTGGGAGCAGCAGGAATGACCGGGTTGGATGGAAGCTGTGGGCAGGTGGGGGGAACCCAGTTACCTGGCTGGAGATTGCCCACCCAACTGCCCCCAGCATCTGGAAACCTGAAATGGGTCTCTTCTACTTCCCCCCATGGGCAAGAACCTAAGAAACGCCTTCATTTGACAGGGCAGGAGAGTGTGAGGCTAACAGCGCCAGCCCTTTTGCCAGGTAGCTCTGGATTCCAGTCCTTGCTAGAGCACTTATTGGCTGTGTGACTGCAGGGAAGTCACTGAACCTCTCTGGGCCTCCGTTTTCTTAGAAGTAATCTAGGTGTAAACATGGTAACTTACTTCAGAAGGTTGACGAGGCTAGTAGGTGAGATGCCATATGCAAAGTGCGTGGTACATAGAGAACAGTCGACAGAGGGTGGCTCTTCGTACCTTAGTGCTTTTTTAATTATCATTGCTAAAGTATAAACCAGAGGAATATATTGGGGGAAAAACATGGGCATTGGCATCAGACCAACTAGATTCTAGTCTCACATGTGCTAGTTGCTTCCCAGAGTCTAGTTTCTTCGTCTGCAAAAAAGGGAACAGGATTGTTGCAAAGGTAAGTGAGATATGCATGAATAGGGTCTACTACCGGGGCTGACAGGAGTAAGAACCAGTACACAGCTCTGTCATTCTTCCTGTTACTGCCATCGCCACCGCTAAAGCATTAGACGTGAGGGAGGGCTAGCAGCCCTTGCATTTACAGAACTCCTACCGTGTGGAAAGTTCTTTCTTCCAGAAAGATACAGGCAGTAGCATCACTCTCCAGCCCCCCAGCCTTGTTGGTTCCCTGGTGTCCTGAGTCCCAGTGGCCGGTTTGCGGAGGTGCCTGCTTGACCAGCCCCGCACTAGGGCCACCCACCCTCCCCTCTCTGCTGCCCTCCCTGCCTCCTTCCGCCCACCCTGTGTGATTACCCAGAAGGAGCTGGGTCTCCCCAAGCCCCTGGTGGTGGGATGGTTTGGGGTGCCTTTCCCCAGACATCTTTGTTGTTTGCCTTCTTCCTAGCTGAACCTCATTTTTTTGTGTGTGGGCAGCCCATTTTTCGATGCCTTAGAAAATAAATGTCAGCTGTTTTTCGTTCTGGGCTTTTCTGCCACTTCATTAAAGTGCTGTGTATTCCATGTTCAAGTAACAAAGGCCCAGTTCCAAGTCCCCAGTCATTTCCTAGGTGGCTGCTACTTAATGCAACTGTTTCTTGGCTTGAAGCCTTTGGCTGGGGAAGGGGGGTGGCTGGTGCCTCGGGGCAGGGAATGGACAGAGAAGAGCGGGCTCTTCTGCAGCCCCGTTGCCATCCAGCCCCAGCCTTGCTGCCTGCGGCAAACATCGCCCAGCCCCTCCAGAGTCCGGCATTTGTCAGGGGCTGGGAGCACTGGGAGGTGAGGCCCGGGGAGCACAGATGCTTAGAAAGAGGAACACAGTGCAGATCGCGGCCCGAGTCAAGGCCAGTTTTCTTTCCTTCTTTCTTCCTTTCCTCAGGTCTCACAGCCTTAAGCCCCCCAGACGTCCAGTTGGCGTGTCCTTGGGCATCATCATTTGCAGGGCCCAGTGCAAAATGAAAATGTGGCCGCTTCCGGCTGGGCCTGGATGGGTGACCCCCAAGAGTTTGTCACCGCTGCACTCTGGGTACATAGATTAGGGGGGTCAAGAGGCCGCTGTGGAGTCACCAGTACATGCATCAGGGCATTGCCTGCCCAGGTCAGGGAGGGCTACACCAACCGGAACCCCTCTTAGCCCCAGTGCCTGAGCCCCCCCACCCCCCCTCCCCCCACACACATAACACTGTCACATTTAGGGGCTAGGATGACAGTAATGGGGCAAGGTGGTGGCAACCCCCCTGGGCCAGGCTCCAGGAGGTGGGGAGCAGGAACCTAAAACCCTTCTGTGGAGGTGGTAGGAGGCAGGCCCATGAGTGAGCTGAGGCCCCAACCCCCCGTGCCTGCCCCATTGCCCCATCAGACGTCACTTACGAAGCACAACGTCAAAGGTAAAAATATTAGGAGTGTAGGTGGCGCCCTCACAGGTATGGGTCAGTGGATTAGAGTGTTGACCTGTGGACTGAAGGGTCCCAGGTTTGATTCCGGTCAAGGGCATGTACCTTGGTTGCGGGCACATCCCCAGTAGGGGGTGTGCAGGAGGCAGCTGATCGATGTTTCTCTCTCATCGATGTTTCTAACTCTCTATCCCTCTCCCTTCCTCTTTGTAAAAAATTAATAAAATGTATTTAAAAAAATAAAAAAAGAAGTGTAGGTGGCTACGGCAGAGCATTGAGCCCCAAGCGCGGGCCCTTAGGCAGGCAGGACCCATTGGGGTCAGGTGACTGCAGGTTCCCAGGAGAGAAGATGATTGGCTCAGTCTGAGATCAGGTGGGCAGGAACCAGGCCAGTCCACGAAGAGGGAAGATGGGGGTGCAGTTGAGGCGGTGAGCATGCATGATGGGGCTGACTCCACCATGTGGACAGCAGGGCTGGCGAGGCCGACCCGAAAGCCTTCTCTAGTGGCCTGTGCTCCAGCCGTAGGAGATGGAGAGAGACCCTACACGTAGCCTCAGCTTATTCAACTGAGAAATAACAGTATCTGCCAACTCCCAGGAATCTGAGACTTTTCAAATGCGATTGGAAGGTGCTTGAGCTCCCTGGAAGGCGGACCCACCCAACTGTCATCAAAACCGCATTGACCATTGGATCTGACCTCAGGACTGGGGAGGGGGAGCAGGAGAAAGACTAGATGTCTTTGAGGTGCCTTTTAACCCCAGTTCCAGAAATTCCATGCTGTGTGTTATGAGGATTTTAAAAAGAATGTTTTCCATTCTCTACAAGACACAAGCACCTTCTTTTCCTAAAAATCCCCCCCCCCCCCGGCGCCCCCGCCCCGCCCAATGTCTTCTTGAAGGGGAAAGAACTGGAAAGAAAGGAAGGAGAACCCAGGCCGTTTGTTAAAGTTTATTCCTTAGGCTACAATGTGATTTTTGTATCACGCAGAGGAAATGTCCGCAGACTTGAGGACGGTTTTACTGTCTAGGTCTGGTTGGTGCTCAGGGCTCGTGTTGCTTTCTGACCCGGAAGCTGCTGGCTTACCTTTGCTTGGCAGGAAGGTGGAGAACACAGTTAGGGTTTCACCTCCATGACCTGTCCATCCCATCATGTTTTGTGAAGGAGTTCTTTGTAAATCACTTTGATTTTAGGCTTTCGTCTGCCATCTGGCAACTAGTGACCGGTTTTTAAAATTAGGCCGTTATCTTGTGAATTTTACGAGGACCTATGAAATGTGGTTTATGTTACATTAGTCACAAATGTGACAGTACCTTTGAGAGAACATTTTAATGTTTCGGATGTAGGCCTATTTATTGTAGACTCCCGTTACTTCCCACTCCTGGTATGAAGATAGCTGGGCTAAGAGAGCAATTCTTGTCATCACTACCCACCACTGATTACTAAGGACGTAAATGAGCGTGTGTGTGTGTGTGTGTGTGTGTGTAGCGATTATTATTATTTTAATATTTTTATTGATTTCAGAGAGGAAGAGAGTCTCGTTAAAGTGCTGAAGCCTTCGGGCTGGGGAAGGGGTGGGGCTGGTGCCTCAGGAGAGAGAGACAGAAACACCAATGATGAGAGTGAATCATTGATCAGCTGCCTCCTGCACGCCCCACACCGGGGATCAAGCCTGCAACCTGGGCATGTGCCCTTGACTGGCATCGAACCCGGGACCCTTCAGTCCGCAGGCCAAAGCTCTATCCACTGAGCCAAACCGGCTAGGGCATGATTATTCTTATCAGAACTTTATGATATTGCTGAGATGATGCCATTTTCCAGAGGAGGAACTCAAGACTCAGGGAAATTAAGTCCAAGACCACAGAGCTTGAATGTGGCCGAGCTGGGACTTGAACCCTTGGCCTGATTCACAGTTCTTTCCTCTCTGCCACCCATGCCCTCATCATCTCTGTAACAGGGCTCTTTATAAAGGAGAGAACTAAGAAATGCATGAAGTTTTGTTATAGGATACTGGTCATCCTGGGCCCCCCACCGCATAGCGTAGGCCTTGCATAACCTGGTAATGAGGCGAGTAGAGAGGCAGCAGCTCACTCGTGCTCTCTGAGCTGCTGGGACTTGCAGAGAGGCTGCTCCGTAGCTTAGGGGACCAGCTTTCTGAGGGAGGGCAGGGGTCCGCGGGAAGCCTTGCTGGAGCGCAGCAAAGCAGAGTGGAGAGCACACAGCTCCTGGAGCCAGGTGGACCAGCGCCGTCTCCCGTGGGCAGGCCTCACTGTGCGCACCAGTAAAGTCAGGGGAATGGCACCAGTTGACAGGATGATCCAGAGGGTTGGAATTGGGTGAGATGAGGGGCCTGAGCCCTCTAACAAACACAGAACGTTTAACTATGGTTAGTTGCGGTTGCAAAGGGACTAAATCTTTCTCTCCCCACAACCTTCCCCTGCAGACACATGACGGACACATCCTTCTGCTTATGATTTTGTGTGTAGTCTTTCATGCCAGCGTGAGAAACCTAAATTTATCTTTTTGAAAAAAAACTATTCTTTCTGCCTAATTTCCCATTGCCTTCAGGTTCTCTTTTCTGAGTTTAGATGAAAGGCTGGAAGGACATTGGGCATCAGTGTCCGTCCATAGAATCCAGCCAGGCTCGCCACATGCCGCCCCTGCGGTTGGAGGGATGGCCATGGTGGAGGTTGGGTTTGGCGCTTGTCTCACTCTGTTGCGATGGGCTGTCTTCTCCTGGAGCCTCGGCCTTCCGTGAGGACAAAAGGCTTCTTAACCTTGGAGGCCGGGCGAGCTCCCAGCGCCCAGGAGGCTGGCGGGGGAGAGGGCTGCCACCTGCAAAGGAGCTCAGCTCTCATGTTCTTTGTTCTCTTTTGGCAGAACCAGCTTCTTGCGAAAGGACTGCTGTTTGTGGAGGAGAAGATTAAGCTGTGCGAAGGCAAGTATGAGGCTGCCCTCGCAGAGCGGGGTTCCCCGGACTCGGGCTTTGAGGTTTGGGCGGCCGAGGTGCTTCTGTCCAAATGCGGCCGGCCCCACGCGAGGGATTCACCCCGGCCGCTGCCTGTCCGGCGAGGCGGCAGCATTTCCATCTGAGTCAGCCTCTTGTGCCACGGCAGCTGCCACTGTGCTTCAAAAAGGGAAGTGGAACCGGGAGGTCGCTTTACAGACCTCGTGTAAGGGGGTTTTCACGGGGTGTGTGCAGCGGTCCCCTGTGATGGGATGAGTTACCCGGTAGGTCTGGTTATGCTGTTCTCCCTCGTCTGATCCAGGCTATTTCCTATTGGCCTCTGTCCTGTTTCTTGTCATAAGTGACCAGGGGCCTATCCGCTAGGGAAACGTTAGGCTAAGCAGAGGGCCACTTCAGGGGGTCTCGTTTGATAGGCAAAGGAACGTTTTCTGGCTGTAAAAGAGGTTTAGAGCCCATTGGACAAGACAGGATGGAATTGGAAGGTGGGTCCCAAGGCAAGAATCACCAACCCCTTGGACTAGCTCCACCTGGGACTATGTCAGCTCCCACCCATGTGGATCCTAACCTCGGCTGCCCCTGCGTTCATGGGTGACTGTTTGGCAAGTTTCTAGTTTCTCTGAGCCTTGGTTTTTAGTGTCTTTAACATGATAAAATGGGGGTCAGGATGGTAGGGAGGATCAAGTGCATCACCGGCACAGCACCATACCCAGCACACAGTAGGTACACAAACTGGTTCCTCCTCCTTTTGTTCATCCTGCTCTAGCCTGAGTCCTCTGGCTGTAGGACAGACTTACCTCTAGACCCAGACTTACCAGGCATTAGGTCACCCCTTTATTCTCCCATTCCCTGGGAAAGAGACTGGCGTCCAGGGAAGTGGCTCCCAGTCAGGCAAGGCAGGAAGAGAAATGCGAGGCCGGCAGGGCAGAGGGCGTTGTCTGGCACACAGTGAGTGCTCACCAGCCTGCGAAGATCAGAGATTAGACACTCGCCTCTCTCTGTCTGAGAGCTGCTGAACCTGTGGCCTTGTTTCCCTTGCATCCATCTATGCTGAGACTCCTCATGCTTACAAATACCCACCGGCCCGAGGCCTTGCTTACAGCGACTGGCTCTGATGAGCACTTAGTGGGCCTTCTGCATTTTGGTGGCAGGCTAGGACACGTGTGTGGAAGGTGGCAGGCTAGGGAAGAGAGGAAACAGGAGCATGGTCTCTGGGCACATTTGTCTAAGTCATTGGGGGAATTTTTACAAGCTCTTGCAAATATGGACAAATACCAGCTCTAGGAAAAGGATGCTGAGCAAAACCAGAGATCTGAGTGCCCTTAAAAAGGAAAGGGGACCCTGGCCGGTGTGGGTCAGTGGATGGAGTGACGGCCTGCGGACTGAAAGGTCCCAGGTTCGATTCTGGTCCAGGACACATGCCTGGGTTGCGCGCTCGATCCCTAGTGAGGGGTGTGCAGGAGGCAGCCTATCAGTGCTTCTCTCTCATCATTGATGTTTCTATCTCCCTCTCCCTTGCTCTCTAAAACCAATAAAAATATATTTTTTTAAAAAAAGGAAAGGGAATGTCTCTCGCCCAAGTGATGCTCAACAGATGCATCCAGAGTGAAGCCTCAGAATGGAGCTAGACGGGTGAGCAGGTCATCCGGGCTATTGGGCCACGGCCCCACCGTGGGCCGGCGAGTTCGGGGCCCGGGTGGTCTCTCTGTGGCCCCCTAGTCCCGGGCCTGGGTGCCAGGTCCTCTCTGCACAGTGAAGGGGCCTGAGGGGAATCGTTAAGGGTTTCATCCCCTCAGCCAGAATGTCTCTGCTCTCTCTATGTTATGCATGACGGCTCCAAGCAAGATTTCGTTTGGGGAAGAGGACTCTCCTGCTATGAAATAGAGGTTGGGAAGGACTGAGAGGACCCTCCCTGTCGCTGAACAGAGTGCACTTCATTGACCTTTTTGCTAATATACGTCCACTCCGCCTCCTGGCCGCAGACAGGGCAGAGGCAGCTCCTGTCCGCGGGGCGTTCTGTCGAGGGATGTGCCATGTGACTCGCAGCCGTCCCTTCTGAGCTTTAGTGACCTTGACTTGAAAGACGTTTCCCGTACCTATCCTCCGGACCTCTGGTGATCTCAACTCTCATGGTGCATTAGAGGAGAGTTTTCTAAGAGAGTCATCTAGAACCTTCCATCCAGGGAGGACTTGGCAGGGAGCTAAGTCCTTGACGTGGGGCTGTTTCTGGAGGTGACGCCACCTCCTTCCTTGAACTCTTGCTTCCCCGGGGCTACCCTGTGTCTGTCTGAGGTTGTTTTCTGAACACGTTCCAAAGCCTCCATTCCTCTCTGGAGTCTGCAGCCAGCAATTAGGCCCAGGCTCCCGGGACAGGCGCCTTCCGGCTGCGGGGCTGAGGGATGGCCTCACGTGCCCACGAGGGTTCCATCTGGGTGGGGAAGGGGAGCAGACAGGCGCCAGCAGGTCCGGCATCGACCTGCAGGATTCACCACCCTTCCTTCAGGGCAGGGGGGGCCTCTGCTTGTCCGTGTACGGAAGGCTTAGCCTAAGGCAGTGATGGCGAACCTTTTGAGCTCTACATGTCAGCATTTTGAAAAACCCTAACTTATCTCTGGTGCCGTGTCACATATAGACATTTTTTGATATTTGCAACCATAGTAAAACAAAGATTTATATTTTTGATATTTATTTTATATATGTAAATGCCATTTAACAAAGAAAAATCAACCAAAAAAATGAGTTCGCGTGTCACCTCTGACACGCGTCTCATAGGTTCTCCATCACTGGCCTAAGGGCTGTCAGTGAGGAGCTGGAACAGCCTCTTCTCCTTGGAGACACATTCATCTGGGTGTGGGGGTTCACCTTGGTTTTAGGTACCGGGCTGACTCGTTCCTGCAGAGAACTAGCATAGCCTGCATTTGAAAAGAGGATGCTGATGGACTGAGTCAAACATTTATTGATTATCTTCTATCGACCAGGTTCTCTCCTAGGTGCTGGGGACACAGGGGTGCACAAAACCATCCTAGGATTACAGGCCCTTGTGGCGCTCCCGGCCTGGTAGTGGAGACAGATATTAATCCAATCATCACAAAATGTAAAACTGCAGCTAGACTAAGTACTAACAATATCGTGCAATCCATAGTAGGAGGATTTGACCACTTTCCTGTGGCCCAGGGCACATGCCTGGGTTGCGGGCTCGATCCCTAGTGAGGGGCATGCAGGAGGCAGCTATCAGTGCTTCTCTCTCATCACTGATGTTTCTATCTCCCTCTCCCTCCCTCTCTGAAATCAATAAAAATATATGTTGGAGCTGAAACTACAAAGATAAACAGATGTAGGTTAGGCAGAGAGCGGAGGGAAAGAACAGTCTGGGCAAAGGGACTGGCCTCTGCAAAGGGCCTGAGGCACAAGGGACCTGGTGAGTGGGAGGGGCTGAAATAAAGCCCACAGAGTGAGGGCTAGAGGCTGAGGGGAATATAGAAGACGATGACGACACAGAGGGAAGCAGACTCTCCCCTGGCCAAGAGGCCCACATTATGGAGGTTTTCTTTAAGCAAAGGAGAGTGTTGGAGCTAATCAGGAAGTCCTGTTCTATCCTGTCCCATATCTGGGTTAAATGGTAACCTCCCTCCACTCACCAGCCCTAGTGTTTGCAAAAATAAACAACAAACCACAACCGCCTGGCTGGCATGGCTTGTGGTCGAGCATCGACCTATGAGCCAGGAGGTCAGGGTTCGATTCCCGGTCAGGGCATCTGTCCAGGTTGCAGGCTTGATCCCCAGTAGGGGTGCATGCAGGAGGCAGCCGATCGATGATGTTTCTCTCTCACCCATGTTTCTATCTCTCCATCCCTCTCCCTTCCTCTCTCTCTGAAAATCAATAAAAGAATATAAAAACAATAACAACAAAAACAACCCCACAACCCTGTACACTTAACACTTGCCATTCATTCATTCATTCATTCATTCATTCATTCATTCATTCATTCCAAGATGTCTAGAAATTGATTTATCATGCTAAGCACTAGAAATAGAATGGTGAGCAGGACAGAAAGAGCCCAGGCACTCACTCCCGTCCTGGTGGAGTCAGGGAAGTGAAACAAGCATAAGCGAGCCCAACAGAGAGTAATTAGCGCTGTGCGAGGGAAAGGGGAGGGCGCTAGGGGTTTGCGTTTTCCCCACCTACATCTCGCACTGACCTTTCCAGATCTGCATGCCTTCGGCCCTGCTAGCTGCCGGTCATGCCCTTGCTCTGCTCTCTCCCCCAGCCACTGCTTTTATTGTCCATTAAACTAATAGATGGAACGTACTACATGGAGCTCTGTATCAGTTCAGTGCAACTGGCGGTGTTGGGCCAAACGCAGCTCTCGGTGTCTAATCTTGGTTGACCCAGTTTCTCTGCCTCAGATGAGCAAAGACAGTGCCCAGTCAGCTCTGTTATCTGGGTCATTAAACAGCAGCCACCGTGCAGGCCCCTCTCAGCCACGCCCCCCCGCCTTTCCTGCAGGTGCAAAGTTCCTCACACAGCCTTCCGGTGGCACTGGGTGACCCGTGTCATCTAGCCGGGGGTGGTGCGTGGCCACGGCTCAGGCTCCCTGGTCCCAGGGGTGAGAGTAGGCCCTGCCTCGGGATTCGGGTCCTGTGTCCCACAAGGGACCGAAATGCTGAAAAGCAGTGGGTGGAGTTTCTCGGCCCTCTTTCCACCTCCCTCAACTGACAGCTCAAATCCAGAATAAAAAGCCATTGTCTTAGCGATCAAAGAACAACAGCCAAGCACTATATAAGCGAGGACAGGCTTTGCCCAGTTTATGTTGCTCAAGAGCATGGTTCTGGAATCCCGACTCTGCCTTTTTGCTGTGTGACTTTGAGCCAGGTACTTGACCTCTCTGAGCCTGTATCATAGGGTAATAGATCTACTTATGAGATGTCTCATGGATGAGTAATTTAGCACAGGGACTGATAATGTAACCATTCTCGTGATAATAACAATTGTTATACGATTTTCAAAATTCAGCTCCCTTTTCTGGGTTGGGCCCAGAAGGCATAGTTGCATGTTTCCAGTTGAGTCTTTCCATCCAACCCCGTGGTTACTGTAGTAACACCTTACAGATCAAATGTAGGTGAGGGGCCTTCGTCCCCTGCGCCCCCCTCTCCCCATGCCCCCCCCTCCCTATGTGCCCCCCTCTCCCCATACTCCAGTTGATGGAACTGTCTTCTGGCCTCTTCTGCAAGTAATGACAAGTTCTTTTCTTTCTTCCCCCTCCCGTCTTCTCGCCCCTGTGTAGGTGAAAATCGCATTGAGGTTCTGGCTGAAGTCTGGGACCACTTCTTCACTGAGACCCTCCCCACCCTGCAGGCCATATTTTACCCCGTTCAGGTCAGTCTCGCCGGAACAGCCTCGGCTCGGCCTTTGCCACTTGCAGCCTCCTGGTGACGGGGGAGGACAGGAGGTCGGGAGCCTGAGTTGGCTAAGGACTGGGAGGTCTCTGCAGGGTGCTTGGTTCCATCCTTAGCATCTCACCTCCAGCAAAGAGGAGGCCCCGCAGAGGTAGTGATTCGTAGGCCCGCGTTGCCCTCTTGGTTTGGAGAATGTCCGCATATTCCTGGAGTGGCCTGCTTCTTACTCTTCCTTTTCTTTCCCTTTCTCCCCCCCCTTTCTCTGAAGCCCGATTTTTAAGCAACTTCCCCGTTGCTCCCAGGTTGTGGAAAAGGAGTGGTGTTCCTTGAAGACCACGTGGCAGAAAGAACCCCGACTTGGGATCTCGTGGGGTTTGGGCAAACGCATCTCACTTCTCGGAACGTAGCTCCATTTCGTCTCCTGCAAAGGGAGGAATTTAGGCAGAAAGAGCAGAAGTGCCTCCTTCTGTGACCTCAGCTCATTCTCCCACTTATTTCCCGCCACCCTGCTGCAGGGCTGGTCAGTGCCAGGTCAGCGTGGACACCCCCTAAGGCAGGTGGACCCAGGTGTCACACCCCTGCGCTGCCATGCGCACTGCCCCCCCCCCCCCCACCTCCCCTGGGTTCAGGGTCCTGTCTGCTCGGGCTATTGGGCGCAGCCACAAACCAGCCATTAGCCATGGTGGGAACTGCCTGGTGCCAGAGGTAATGACCCACCTGCTTTGTTTGCTCTGAGTGCTGTTTTAAAGGAACCTGGAATTCTCTGAACTATTTGTCAAATGTTTAAAACTTGGGAGGTTATGCCTGTGGCGTCCATCTCCCATTCTGGGCCTGCCCCCTGACAATTCTGGTGGAAACCCCCAGCCTGCAGCCCACAGCTCTCCTCCCCCCATTCCCAGCTCGTCCTGCTCCCCTGAGAGAGGACTGAGAGCATTGATGTGGACAGTTCAGTCCCCTCCTCCAACACCCCGTGTTCAGAAGCGTCTCCCTTCCCTGCTGTGGTCACTCCTCGGCCAGCAGTGGGTCTTAAGAAGGCAGTCCTGGGAGGTGGGGTGGGCAGATCTAGCCAATGAAAATACAGGATGCTGAGTTAAATCTGGATTTCAGATCAACATAAACAACGCAAGGTCTGAGACATAGACTAGAGAATCATTCACATATAACTGGACACCCATCTGCAGTGGGTTTGCCGTCATGGGTGTCTCTTAGGACCATCTGGGCGTGAAAATCCTAGGTGAGGGTGCCCAGATGGGTTTAGGATGGGGCGTGTGGGATCTGGGTGGGCGTTGTCCTGACACAGTCGCCAGGGGGCCTAGAGGAGCCCAGCTGTGCAGGTCTGAGGCTGGTACCGCCCCACTTCTCTTGAAAGATTGTAAAATGTGGCAACAATTGGTTTTGTTCCTGTCCACTTCCCCCTAATTTCCCAAGTGCTGCTGCTGCTGCTGCTGGTCCAGACACCCCACTTTGAGAACCCCTGACTTAGGAGTGCTCATTATTGGTAGTAACACCCTCTGAGGTGTCTGTGAGTCCAGTCGGATCCTTCTCACAACTCCCTGTGGGTTGAGGTGTCTGCCAGACCTACTCCTCATTGGACAGCTGTGTTTCTGAGCACCTGCTGTGCTCAAGGGGGTGGAACTTGGCCTTTGGTTTTCCCTCTTGTAAACTGACAGGCTCTAGGAGATGAAGTGAGGGCAGATACCTACCAGATAAGTGGTCAGTGCCAAGTGCTGGGGCATGATGCAAAACATAGAAGCTACAGAACCTTGGAAAAGATTGGGGAGGGGGTGGACCACTGCCAGTGAGGCAGTCAGGGAAGGCAGTCCAGGGGGTGGTGGAACTGGGCCTGGAAGGCGTGGGTGGCGTTATGTGTGTGTGTCTTGGGACTGGAGGGTAGAGGGATGCAGGGTTGGCCACACCACTCTTGCCCATGTTTCTGTAAAGCCTTCCTAAGGACTTATAAGAAATGCTAAACTTTCTTAAGCTTTGGTAGTCTTGAAGGGTGGGAACCCATATCCTATTGGCAGGGTATACTTGAATGATACCTTTGTCTCTACTGAGAGCAATTGCTTTTTGGAGTGTTCTGTGTATATATGTGCAAAGGAGAGCCTGGAACATGGGCCCTTCTTTCCCTTTCTGTTTTGGCAAACTTCGGGAACTCCAAAATCAAATAGTTTAGGGTTAGCCCGGCTGGTGTGGCTCAGTGGTTGAGCATCAACTTATGAATCAGGAGGTCACAGTTCGATTCCCGGTCAGGGCACATGCCCAGGTTGCAGGCTCCACCCCCATTGGGGGTGGGCGGGGGGGCGTGCAGGAGGTAGCCAATCGATGATTCTCTCTAATCATTGATGTTTCTATTTCTCTCTCCCTCTCCCTTCCTCTCTGAAATCAATAAAAATATATTTTTAAAGAAGTTTAGGTTTGCCATCCAGCTGTACGGGCTTTAGGATTTTTCACCTTGAAGTGGGTTTTATAATAGTACCTCTCTCAAAGGGTGGTCACAGGTGTTCAATCTACATCAAGAATATCTAGAATCATGCCTAGCCATGGTCAGAGCTTAGTGTCAGTTCTTAGGATTGTTAGCTGTTATTTTCTTTCTCTGTCCCCACCCCACGTGGCTGAACAAGTCCCTTCCTTCTACTTCCCCAGTTCTTTTTCTTCCTGAGTTACTTGCATTTATATGAATCTAACACAGTGGTTCTCAACCTTCTGGCCCTTTAAATACAGTTCCTCATGTTGTGACCCAACCATAAAATTATTTTCGTTGCTAATTCATAACTGTAATGTTGCTACTGTTATGAATCGTAATGTAAATATCTGATATGCAGGATGGTCTTAGGCGATCCCTGTGAAAGGGTCGTTCGACCGCCAAAGGGGTGGCAACCCACAGGTTGAGAACCGCTGATCTAACAGGTCCCATGCTTTCCTCCTTCTCCTGGCATGCGACTGGGGCTCAAATAGTTAACGGATGAAGCTGAGGAAGCAGCCTTGAATGTGGGGAGGAGGTGGTGATCTTTGATCTTGTTTCTCCCATCTGCCTCTCTCTTCCTTCTTTCTGACCCTCAAGGGGCACCGGGACAGAATGGCCCCCAGGACAAGCATCTGTATCACCTGTGGGTTATTTAGGCAGGTCCAGCCGCACCTTATGTTAAGCAAAGCTTCCGTTCTGAAGGATGGAGGCCAAGTCCCGCCTCTTTAACAACACCCATGTGGCTGATGGCAGGTCCAGGGAGCTCTCTCCTCCCGACACCGCCTCTTCTCTCCCCCAGGGCCAGGAGCTGACCATCCGCCAGATCTCCCTGCTGGGCTTCCGTGACCTGGTCCTGCTGAAGGTGAAGCTGGGCGACCTGCTGCTGCTGGGCCCGTCCCAGCTGCCCCCGTCCATCGTCCAGATGCTGCTCATCCTGCAGGTGAGGCCCCGGGGGAGACGCGACCCCAAGGCCGAGGGAAGGAACGAAGGAAAGAGACTGTCGCTGTGGACACGGGGGAAGGAAGGAACCGAAGGACCAGAGCGCCTTAGCTTAGGGTAGTGTCCTTTCGTCGTTCATGTCCCTTAGCTCATTTTCCTTTTGCTGGACAGCCCCTGAGCATCTCTGAGGTCCGGGACGCTGAGCTCTGTGCTGGGGTCCCGGTGGGAGGGAGACGCAGTCCGGTCATTCAGGCTGGGGGCACCCTCCCCTCCTCCCCTGTTCTGTCAGGGAGTCAGGGGTTACAAGTAACAGCAAGAACCCACCGCGACCTAGCTCAAGCCGGACCAGGGCTCCCTGGAAGGTTCCTGGGGCAGGGGGCTTCCTAAAAAGACAGCAGCCAGAAGGGAGACCGTGTCAGGCCTCCGAGGGACTTGGCTCTGCCCTTCAGGTCTAGGCTCAAGGCTCCCGGGTTAGGTTGGGCCCTTCGGGGCTAGGTCACCTGTCAGGGACTAGCTTTACCTCCTCAGGCCTTGACGCGACTCCTTGGGGCTATGCTAGGCCCCTGGGGGCTAGTCTCCGCCCTTCAGGACTTGGCTCAGCCCTCTGGGACTAGGCTGCGCTCTTAGGCGCTGGGGTTGTCCCTTCGGGACTTGCTTCAGCTCTTAGGGCTGGGCTCGGCCCTTCGGGGCGGGGCTCAGCTCCCTGGGGTTAGGCCAGAAGACTGTTTTGCTTGTTTTTTAAATATGTTTTTATTGATTTGAGAGCATTAACCCCTTGAGTGCCGGGGAGCGCGATCACGCGCCTCCTGTCTTTCGCCAAAAGTCCCGGGAGCGCTATCAGAGCTGCGAAACGGCGTCCAGTTCTAAGTCTGCTTTTATTAGTGATGATGATGTTGCTGAATATGTCAGTGTAGTAAAGGTCTCCTTAAGCTTTTGAACATGTAACTTCATTTACTTGCGATTCATAATTTTTTTTCCTAAACTGCTGTAAAATCAGCAAAAAACGCCTTGGCAATTTTAGCATAGTTCCTAGGATATTGGTTGGCACTCAAAGGGTTAATTGGCTGCCTCCTGCACGCCCCCTGCTGGTGATCAAGCTCACAACCCAGGCACATGCCCTCACCGGGAATGAAACCAGAGACCTCCTGGTGCGTGGGAAGATGCTCAATCACGGAGCCACACCATCTGGGCACCACCTTGAAATTCTTCATTATTTTTGAACAAGGGACCCCGCGTTTTCATTTTGCACTGGGGTTTGCCGGGTGGGAGGGTGTTTTAAAATCCAATCCACTTTGAGAATTTGACAGGACGGCCTGTGGGCTGAGCACGGCACCCATGGTCCTTGCCTCTCTGCTCCCCGGCAGCCCCTGGGCCCCAGAGAATGGCTTGGTGTCCTTTCCAGGGATCAGCTGGGTCCCCTAGGAGTCTGCTGGTCTTCTAGAAAACCTTGGTCACTTCTGGCTCCTTTCCGGATCTGGCGGCTGTGGTCATTGTTTCAGCTGGTGTTTGCTCTGGCCTGGGCTCTGAGGACGCCAGTCAAGCTGGGCTTTTGGAACCGCCTCTTCATCTTGGGGCTCAACACGCATCTCGTTCCACTGTGACTCCCTTTCTTCTGCTGCTCTGGACGTTTTCATATTCGGTCCCCCTTTCTTTTCTAGCCTGTTCACAAGTGGCAGGAAGATGTGCTCGGAGCCAGACAGCCTGGGTTCCATTCCTGTATTTTCTGTTTTTGTTTTATTGATGTCAGAGAGGAAGGGAGAGGGAGAGAGAGTTAGAAACATCAACGTTGAGAGAGAATCATTGATCACTGCCTCCTACATGCCCACTACTGGGGATCGAGCCTGCAACCCAGGCAGGTGCCCTTGACCGGACTCGAACCTGGGACCCTTTAGTCCTCAGGCCCACGCTCTATCCACTGAGCCAAACCGGTAGGACCCATTCTTGGGTTTTTGCCATGGACCGGCTGTGTTCTCCTGGGCAACTTGCTTAAGCTCCCTGGGCCTTCATTTCTTCGTCTGTAGAGGGAGATGACGAGACTGTCACCTTCCTTGGGTTGGTGGGAGGCCTCTGTGCTTTGATGGTGTCGCGTGCTTCTAGAAAGAGCCTGCATGCCGAGTGTGACCGTGAGGGTGGGATTCCTTTGGTTGGGGCCAATGCTCAACCTCGGAGCCGGGGTGGGGACTGTCCACTCAAGCTGCATGGGTGGGACCCGGGGGAGAGGCGCCATGGCACCCTCCACACACCGTTCTGATCACGGGGACCCGTGGCACGTGGCTCGGGCTGCAGGCCTCGGTTCCCTGCGTTCCAGCCACGGGGATCTGCCTGCTGGGGCCACTGCCTTGGACGTGGCCGGAGGGCCCGCTGGCCTTGGCGACTCTGAGTGACCTTTGCCCCTCTTGGATGTTTGTTTCCAGAGTGTTCACGAGCCCACGGGCCCCAGCGAGGGCTGTTTGCAGCTGGAGGAGCTAGTGAAGCAAGTGGTCTCTCCTTTCCTGGGCGTCAGCGAGGACCGCGGCATCTCGGGCCCCACGTACACGCTGGGTAAGGGCCACCGCTCTCGAGCTGCCTGGGGGCCTTGATGATAATGCTACCGGCCACAGAGATGTGCCGGGACTGTGGCTTCGGATGCAGGCCTGTGCAAATGTGTGCACGTTCACCCTCACGCTTCCCCAGTGGCCTGTGTCTTGGTAACCTGCTCCCCACTCTGGGATTCCCCCCCCCCCCCCCGGGGGCCCTCTCTGTGCTTGTCTGGTCCGCATCTCTGATCTGTGGTTTTGATCTTTCCCTCGTGCCTGCCACGTTCATGTCTCCTGGATCTGCTACCAGAAGCTGCCTGATTGCACCCGCCTCCACTGAGTGGAAAAACCGCCCGTGGTGGATTTCCCTCTGAAATCACCGGGAAACGTGAGGCCACTCTTTTGCACGTGTGGTCAGATGCGGTGGAGCTGCTGCTCCCGCCTCCGTGTCTGTAGGTACCGCCAGGGCCTGTGCACCAAGGAAAGGTCGGATTTGGGGACCAACCCTTTTGGGGCCGTTTTCTGGTGCCTGGTAAGCTAGCATTAGTGAGAGTCAGGCTCGGGAACAGGCTCCCTGGAGAAGCTAGAGTCGGATTCATTCCTTCTCTCAGTGCGACCTCCGTCTAGATAGGGAAATAGCTCGATACTAAGGCATTTTTATCGTGAAAGATGGTTCAGTTACCATCTGAAACAAAAGTTCCCTAAAAGTAGGAACTTTTTGTTGGTTGTTCTATCTCCAGTAACTGGAATGGTGCCTGGTATACAGTAGGCACTGAAACATGTGTGTTAGATGGATGGCATCTGTACCCCGAGGCCAGGGCGGCCAGCACCCACAGAGGGGTGCAGGGCCGGGAACGGATTCCCTAGATTGAGGACCTTTTGCCCCTCTCCTTGCTTGACTGGAATTGGAGCTGCCTTCAGAGCACAAAGTGGAGGGGCAGCCTCCAGCGAGGTTCTGCCCCTTCCCAGGCCTCCCCTGCAGAGAGAGAGAGAGAGAGAAAGAGAAAGAGAGAGAGAGAGAGAGAGGTCTTCCCCTTCCCGGGCCTCTTCTGCAGAGAGAGGCAGGGCTGCCGCGGTCTTCACCACCCCTTCGTGTTTCTCTGGAGACATGAGCTTAACCACAGCCACCGCAGACGGGGTGCTGCCCCGGCCTGCTGCCTGCCAGGTCCCCCCCTCCCTGGCTCGCTCATCACTTACTCATTCCACCCAGGAGCTGGAAGGAGGCGGAGTAGAAATGACAGCTGAAGGAACCCTGCCCTCCCAGCGGTGCCTGGGCGCCCTGTGGCCGCTCCCTTCCTGGAGCCCAGCTTCCTGCTCTGGTGGCCCACGGGCTCACCTCACGGGGCGGGGTGGGGGATCCAGGCCGAGGTCCAGGATGCCAGCAGGTTGGGCCGTGGCGGGACTCCATCCATCATCGCTGGGCCTAGAGCCAGGAATAAGGGTAGACCCAGCAGTTTGTTCAGTGCAGGACTTACTCTAAGAGGCATAGCTCCAGTTTTCCAGCTAAAGTAATACAGTACATGCTCTTGTCCAATTAGAAAGCAGAGGCGGGAGGATTCATTCTTGAACCAAGGACCACCCTTGTCTCCCGGGTGTTGTCTCAGAGGGCGCCCAGAGGGGAGGAAATGACCCTCCTTGGATTGCTTTTGTGGTGTTACTCCAGCAAGGCCGTGCTGAGACCCTGTCCAGGCACCTTGCGAAGTGCTGCAGGTCTATCCCTGACCAAAGCTGACCCACCTCTGCCTTCTGGCGAGCACGGTCAAGTGAGGAAGTCACAGTCAATAGCTGACGACTCATCTGTGTACAAGTGCTCCGAGTGGGGAAGTCCAAGGGTGTTGGTTCCCCACCACCGGGGGACTTTACCTGGATGGGGAAATCAGGGAAGGCTCCCTGGGGGAGGCAATATCTGCTGGGACCTCTAGGATGTATATGAGTTAGCTGAGTGAACAGGAAAGGCAGCCTGTCCCCATAGGAGGGCTTTGCAATGGTCCTGGGGCCTGGCTAGGGGTGGGAGCGGTCAAGGGCAGCTGAATAATCATCTGAAAAGCCACCACTTACCAAATGCCTGGCACATTCCAGGTGCTTGGCATGTATTCCTTTCATCCTGGCACAACCCGCTGGGGGTGGGGACTGTGGTTACCTGGGTCTCAGAGTCATTAAGAAACTTCACACAAGAGGGGAGGTGACCAGGGCTGGGGAAGTGGTTTTTTTACATGTTTGATCTGGGATTCTTGGGATCTCTCTCTCTCTCTCTCTCTCTCTCTCTCTCTCTCTCTCTCTCTCTCTGCCAGCCAGGCCCATGGGCTTGAGGAACAAGCCTCATTCCCGGGATGTACAAGGCTCGCTTCAGAGAAAAGATGAGTCGGAGGCCATGATGGGTTGTGTGTGTGTGTCTCCGCTCCAAAGCCATCATTTTTCTGAGCCAGTGAAATCTTAAATAGGCCGATATGTCAGGACCTAGCCCTCACCCTGCCTTTCTGTAGAATTCCCAAAGTTTCCAGGCCGCTGCCCGGGCTACTTCCAGGGCCCTCTGAGCAAACACAAAAGCCCTGGCCTCCCCCACCCCTCCCCCACGGGTCTCCAGTTGGGGGGGCGGGGTGGCTTTGCCTCCAGATACCATCGTTCTCTTCCTGACAAGCAGGCATTCAGGGCTTCAGGTGCTGGGGCCTGGTGGGGATGCCCACAGTGGCCTGGTGTGCAGGGTCACAATGCCTGCATTATGGCCGCCCCTCCCATGGGGCCCAGCCAGTGAGCCCTGCAGATCAAAGGCTGGGAACCGAGTTCCCAACAAAGGGCCAGGGAGCGCCTCACCGCTTTCTTCTCTCTGGGGTGTGAAAGGAGCTGCCATCACTGGCTCTGTGCAGAGGGAACGTATGCCAGAGCTCAGGGGGTGGGGGCGCGGGGGGGGGGGGGGCTATTGCAGGAGGAAGGAAAAGAGGCCTCCCCTCCCCCACCCTGTGTGACAGGCAGGAGGCGGCTTGGAGGTAGGTGCCAACAGAGGGGGCGGACCCGGCCCCTCACCCTGCTCAGAGGGCCCCAGGCCCCAGGGGCACTGACAGCTTCATCCGTCACTACTTGGGAGGTTTTTTCCTCTGAGTGGCAGGGCCTGGCCTTCCCTGGTGTGAAGAAGACAGTCGGAGAAAGCAAACAGCGACAGTGCGAGGAGCGTCTGTGAGCTCCGGGCCTCCATCAGTTTTAAGGCCTCCCAAGCGGGGGCGGGGGGGGGGGCGCCTTTGGGGGCTGACCCCACTGGGGAGGCAGCTGACATTTGTCTTGGGGTTGCCTCTGGAGTCTGGTGGGAGTTTAGCGAGCAAACACTGTCTTCCCAGGGGACTTGACACGGCCCAGCGGCTCCTGTGGTCTGGGCTCTGCCCACACCCCGTCTTGAGAACCAAAACACTTTGCCCAGAAAGCAGAAGGAAGAGCAGTAGGCCTCCTGGGTGAGTCATCACATGGAAGGCAGAGAGCAGCAGTGAGGAGAGAGGTGGGGCCAGCTGAGGAAGGAGAAGGGCCTTGGAAACGACAGGGCTGGCTTCAGCTGTGTGGCCTGGAGTCCGTTAATCAACCTCTCTTAGCTGAGCACCACGGAGAAAGAAGCTGCCCTGCCTTAGGGCAGGACCCAGGCAGAGCTGCCACCTGCCGGCATTATGGGCCCAGCTAGAGGTGGCCTGGCCCCAGGGACCATTCCCGGTGAGGCATGTGTGTGCCTCTGCCTCCCTCTCCGGACCCCAGGCCACATGCTGAGCCCTCTGCAGGACGTCTCTGAGTCCCTGGAGTGCTGTGTTGACCTGTGTTAACAGTATTTGAGTCGGGGCCTCCCAGTAATCACAACAGGGGCTCTGCTGGCGGCCTGGGCCTGAATGAAGATCTCAACCTCGGGCTCCTTTTCTACAAAATGGGCTCATTCATGTCGGTGAAGCACGCTCTTCTTTGATACAGAACTTAGCACGTAATAGGTGCTCAGTTAACAACTGCCCCTGAGACAGCTGCCCACCACACACACACACACACACACACACACACACACGGGCACTGGGCTCAAGCCGCTGTGGCAGGCCCCACATCACATGTATGCTTCTCTTTCTCCTTCTGTGAGCACAGCATTTCACATGTCTATTGCAGGAGTCATGGGGACCCCCTCCTCCAGGCTGCCCACCTCACTCTGGCTCCAGCTCTCAGCAGCAGCCCGGCAGGCCTCTCTTCTCAGTTTGCTGCCCGTTAACCTTCCCAGGGCTTTGGGCTGCTGGACTAACGGCGTCAGAGAGGTGGGCGACTTCCAGGCACCCAACCGAGACACCTTTCCTGGCTCATTCTACCAGGTTGGGGTCCCTGGGTATCATCCAATGAATTCCCATTTCTTCCAGAGATACTGCCTGGGTCCGCCCGGCACATCTGTCCCCTGTACCCCCAAATCCCCTGTGTCCTGGGCCCAGCTTCTGTTCTAGCTCTTTCCTCTTCCTTGGCCTGCACGTAGGGAATGCTCAGCGGACAGCCCAGCCCCACCTCCTGCCTGGCTGCTGGTAGAGTTGGGGCCACAACACAGGGTCTTCCAATGGCCAATCTCAGGTGCTTGCTTTTGGCAGCAGTGGGAGAAACATGAATTGTGTTCAAGGTCGTTTTTAAAGGCTGGTTCTTTAACGGGGTTGCTGCTGCTTTGAACTCCCTGCTGCTTCTGTTTTATAGGTATCGACTTTTGTGATCATAAAAGTAATGCATGGCGATTGTAAAAAATGTGGGAACATTACAGAAACGGTGCCTCCAGCCTTCCGAGAGCACCTCTGCCACAGGCTGGCATAGATCCTTCGGTCTTGGTGGCCCCTTGGCACGTTGCCCCCTAGTCATTCTTCCCCATCGATGAGGAGTATTTGACACCCCTTCGCCCCCGCCCCCCCCCAACACACACACACTATTTCCTCCTCCATGACAGCCTCTGTTGCTTTCTCTCTTGCAGCCAGGCGCCACTCCCGGGTCCGGCCCAAGGTCACGGTCCTGAACTATGCCTCCCCGATGGCCACCGGCGGCCGGCCCCTGAATGAGATGGCCCTGACCCCTCTGACGGAGCAGGAGGGGGAGGCCTACCTGGAGAAGTGTGGCAGCGTCCGGCGGCACACCGTGGCCAACGCCCACTCGGACATCCAGCTGCTGGCCATGGCCACCATGATGCACTCGGGCCTAGGCGAGGAGCCCAGGGCCGAGGACCAGTGCCTGCTCCTGCCACCCCGCTTCTCGCCGCCCCACCGCCAGTGCTCCAGCGAGCCCAGCATCACCGATGGCCCCGAGGAGCTGGAGGAGGTGGCCGGGGGCTGCCCGGAGGACTTGGAGGCCAACTGTGCCTCCCTCAGCTGACTGCCCACCGGGGCACCTCCCAGCGCTGCCCAGCAGCCAGCCTGAGGACAGCCCCATTCTGTGACTCACCAGCGGGCGCTTCCTTGGGGGCAAGGCTGCCTCGTGTCTTCTTGGGGACAAGCCTAGTCTGAGTGCCCGGGGGGAATCCCTGTTGTCAACCTCTCCGTTTTTGTGCCTGTGACCACCTGTTCGCAGCCATGCAGACCCAGCGGCCTGGTGCCCACTTTCTGATTTCCTGCCTGGCCTGCCTGACCCGGGGTTCATCTCTGGGCTTCCCCCCTCAGATCCTGGACTGCCCAATGCCCCCCAGGACACAGCCCGGTGCCCGTGGCGTTGCTGTGGCAGGAGGCTGTCTGGGCCACGCCTAGAGCCCAAAAGGATGTGCAGGAGTTCCCCTCTGGGTCTGGTGATGCAGAGGCCAGAGGCGTGTGGGTGAAAAGGTACCTCTCCTTCCCTGTTTGTGGGGAGTGGATGGAGACGCAGCCCCTACCCAGCAGGGCCCTGGGAAAGCGCCTTCCTCCTTTTAGTTTCAGGATTACAGGGAAAGAGTTGCCCCCTGGTGCTGAGGGTCCCCTATGTCACATCGTCACATCGTCACATCCCGGAAGCCACCAGGTTGGATGAAGCCTCTGCATTTCCCCCCAGGCTTCCTCCCAAACTCACAGAACCAGCCTCCCTGGGGGCGGTGCCTTCCTCCCTCTCTGAGACCGTTCTCCTGTTGTGGGTGAAGGGCCGAAGGGCCGGCTGATACCAACCAATTAGTCTTGTTCCTGGATTTGACTTGAATTTTTAAAATGTGCGTCGTTTCAAAACCCATTGTTTGCGAATATTTGCACGGAGGGTCTCGCCCTGCTCCTTCCCACTGGAGTGTGTCTTCAGCACCCTCCGGGAAAGGGGACGGAGCGTTTGGGGGGGGTGAAAGGGATCTGCCGTGGGCAGGGCTCACGGGCTACAGAACTCCGGAAGCAGCTGGGCTGGGATCCAGAATGGCCTGTATTTGTGAGTGTCGTGGTTTGTAGGAGGAGCCGCCGCAGTGAGGTAGGGAGGCAGCTGCGCCCTGAGCAGAGGCTGTAGCAATGGAAGGTCTCCGTGCTTTACTGTGGGGAGTGGGGGCGGAGAGTAAGGTGGGAGTTTATAGGACCTTTTGGAGAGATGTTCATTTCCTGTGACTACAGGGAATTCAAATGCCTGGAGTTTCTAACCCCTGAGGCCTCCAAATGCCTTTTGTAGCGCGCTGTCTCCTTACCGCTGCTGCCAGGGCTGGGTTTCTGTCCACCAGGAACCTCTGTTCTCTTTGTCTTTGCCTATTGGCCCCACTCGGAACAGCTCCAGAAGGGAAGAGAAGGCTCCCCGGGACCCTTCTGGCACCTTCTGGGTATCCTGTTAGGCTTGGAAAGTTTGTTAATAAAAATCTGAGAGGCGAGAGCCAGCTTGGCTTCGAATGAGGCGGGAGGAGGCCACGGGGGGATGAGGGCAGGTTCGCCACCAGCAGGGGAAGGGCCTTCTGGGGGCCTCTGAGCCTGGACAGCATTCCCCTCCCGGGCGGAGATCCAAACCATGACCAGAGCTGTGCTCTGGGTGGCTGCTAATTTGGAGCTTGTGTTTTAACAAGTTGTTTCATGTTCATCCTTCCACGAGAGTGACGGGAGATCTGAGAACGTCAAACAAACACAACCAAACTCTCGGTGGGTGTGCGGCACAAAACCCACACGTTGGCGGATGTGCGTTAGCAGACGGAGCATCAGTAGGTAACAGCACGGGATGTGCTTAATGGATGGCTTCGGTCCATTAGCACACGGAGCACTTGAGACTGGGCTGTATTGATCCAGGCAAAGTAATTAGTCATGCTTGGGTTTGTTTGTGGGCTTTTGGTTTTGGTTTTGTTTTTTTTTTTCGTTTACAACGTTAGCACTGCATACGTGTTTCAATGCCTTTTCCATATAGTAAGTGGCCCCGATGCAGATAGCGGTCAACGAAACACGTGCGCTCCCAGGTGGAGAAGGGGAGGGTCAGTCCAGACCCAGGGAACTTGACTTTGCTGAGTGCTGTTAGCCAGTTTCACCTCTGATGTCCACACCGGGTGTTTGCACAGTAAACACTTCAGACTGTACCTGTCCACACGCTATTGATGTTCATGGGCATTCCAGCCATCAGAGGGCCCGCAGGAGTGGTAGCTGGCGTGTTTTAACACTTTCTCCCCTTCACGACATGAAGATCCCTTTTCGTCGTTGATCTTCCTGTGGCTGAGGTTCAAGGACAGGAAGCGATCACTTTAGACTCCCAGTGAGCTCACAAACCCAAAAACCTTTCATGCTGCCCGTTTCCGAAACGGATCCAATAAACGTCATTTCGTCCACACCACCTTCCCTGCTCCCTGGGGTGGCGCCTGGACTGGATCTGCCAGCGCAGCAAAGCATTGGGCGTCCTGTCCTCACGCTCTGTCCCCGCTTTTCCTGCCTCCACGTTCCTTTTCCTGTTGCCTCCCCTTGGGGTTCGGCAGCGGCCTTGCCCAGCTGGCCTCCCGGGGTTTTGCTTGCCGCCCTTGTCTGGATGGGCAAGTCATTTCCTGGAGCAACGGCCTATCTACGGAGCCTGGAAAACACCATACAGAGTCTGGGAAGGCGTTAGAACCTCTGCCCAAAGCGGCCTGGTCTCTGGGTGTTTGGGTTCAGGGGGATGCTCACCCTACTTACTCATGGGTGTCTCCTGCATTCCCCTCTAGTTTGGTTTGGCAGAAAGAATTTATGATGTTTTACTCTCGGCCTAAGTTTTCCTAGGAGGGCAAGAGCAGCATCAGCCCGAGGCCTCTGAAGGCTTAGGAAGCGCATTTATAGAGGCATGACCTGAACTGAGAGATGGTCCTGGAGGACGGAGAGGGGGGAGTGTGTACACTTTTGTTGAGTCTTCCAAGGTTGTTGCTATGGGAAACAGCCGCCACGCATTCAGCCTCGGCAGGTTTCAGTTCTCAGGGCACCACCGCATCCACTCACCCGTCCACTCATCAACCCATCACGTGTGTGGAGCTGCCACTGTGCCTGGGCACTTTTCTTGGTGCTAGGGATACATGAGGGATGTCTCCAGGTGCCTGTGTTTTGGGAGCTTACAATCTTATTAAGCCAACAGGAATTTCAAATAAAGAACCACACCTGATGGAATAAAATGGCAAAAGGCAGTTGAGTAGAGGGTTACCTGAAGTGAGGTGGCTAGAGAAGGTTTCTCTCTTTTTTAAAAAAATACTTTCAAAGAGGAAGGGAGAGAGAGAAACATCAATGATGAGAGAGAATCACTGATTGGCTACCCTCTGCATGCCCCCTATCGAGCTGGCCCCCTACTGAGGATTAAGCCGGCACCCTGGGCATGTGCCCTGACCAGGAATTGAACTGTGACCTCCTGGTTCATAGGTCGATGCTCAGCCATGCCAGCCATGCCAGCCAGGTGAGAATGTCTCTCTTAACACTGACTTGAATTGAGATCTGAGTGATAAGGAGCCATCCTTGCAACGTGCTTTCATTCTCTATGGCTGGTGCAACAGATCGACCACCGATTGGTAGCTTTACACACACACATTTATTGTCCCTCAGGGCTGCAGGCTGGGAGTCTGTCTCCCTGGGCTGGGGTCACGGTGTTGGCAGGGCCGTGTTCCTCTCTGGAGGCTCTGAGGAGGCTCCACTTCCTCACTTGGGAGCCTCCAGAGGCTGCCCTCTTCCCTGGCTCCTGGCCCTCTTCCTCCACCTTCAGAGCCAGCGATGGTGGGTGGCCTCCCTCTCTCCAGCCTGCACTCTGCTCCTTCTGCCACTTTGAAGGACCCTTGTGTGCCCATCGAGCCCATCCAAGTAACTCAGGATAATCTTCATGTCAAGGTTTCTGTGGGCACTGCCTTTGCCGCTCCCTCTGCAGACGTCTCTCTCAGGAAACAGGCCAGCCACATGGTGTGCTAGGGACCCTTGGAGAATGAGACTGCATCGGGCGGGTGGGTGGGTCTCAGTGTCCAGGGCGCACTGGCTGGCCTGGCCCACAGGCCTCGGAGCCCAGCCCCCACCCATCAACGCCTGGTCCCCCATTGACCGTGATTCTGGAATTTCTTGCTCAAATCTGTTACTTCTCAGCTCATATGCCTGTCGGGCCCTCATCACCCCCGTCTGGACCTCTACGACTTGGTACCAACTTGTCTGCAGATTTCATCTCTCCTGTGGACATCCCCAACTGATTTTTCTAAAATTCAATCCTTACTAAAACGTCTCCCTGCCTTCTAATTAAAGCCACACACCTGAACTTGTCTTACACCGTTGCCCAGTTCTTCACTCTACCTTCAGAAGTATGCCTTGTCACCAAGTCACTCATTCAATTGGTTCTTCATTTCTTTGGCCTTTTGGCCTACATTTGAGGGCCTTTGAGAAGAATCCTAAGCAATGTGAATATCTTGAATCTTAACAGTCTCCTGAATTCTTTCGTACTCTCAGGACCACATAACTTACAAGAAATACCTAAATATCTCATAGTTTTGTCTGGGGGGTCCAACTTATGAGGTCATTCCATTCTCTGCAGACTGATCTAGGATCAAGTCAATTGCCTGTCAACAAAAATGTTGGCTGCCCATACTAAGGTAGTTTGGAGACGGGCTCAATAAATAGAAACAGCATAAGGCTTCTGGTTCTGGCTATAGGGGAAGGGCTTGTCTCAGATTAATCTTCCTGCCAAAATAATTATAAAAGTTGGACAAAATATATAAAACATCTGTGTGAAGGAATTGGAGAACACCCAGTCCAGAGGGGATCTGAGAGGCTATGACCTCTAAGAGAAGGGAAATGTATTGGGCAATCTTCACATTCACCCTGGTTTTTCCTGAAGGCATTTTGCCAAGTCACTGGTGCTGGTGGGTGGAGGGGAAGAACGGTGATAGCAGAAGCAGCAGTCCTACGGGGCTGAGATCAGAATTGAAGGCTGCCAGAGTAGCTGGGACTCGAAGGGAGAATGATGGAGAGGACTTAATGAGACAGCTATTTTTCAAGCTGTTGGCTGACTTCTCAGATGAGCATACAGTGAGAACTCCAGGAAACCCAGCAGGAAACAGCAACTGGGAAGCTAAAGAGCTGAACAGATTTGAGCTGTTGCACAATGGTGAGGAGACAGAGGTTCAAGTCCCACTGAGGTAGAGGGGCTTTGACAGACATCCTGGGCTTTTGCTTAAGACCCCAGAAGGGCCACACTCTAGGAGTAAAAGTCATGCTCAATAGGAAGGTGGTGGACTAAAACACAACTATATCAGTAATTACATTAAACATAAATAGACTAAACATTCCAATGAAAAGACAGAGACAATCAAACCAGATTAAAAAAATAACAATACGCTGTTTATAAGAGACACTTTAAATGCTGAGACACAGGAAGATTGAAGATAAAAAGATGGAAATATATATACCATGTAAACACTAGCAAAAGAAATTTGGTGTTGCTAATTTAGTTATGCAAATTTCCTAATGATAAAGATTCAAAAGAAAGATATAAATGATAATACATTAATTATCATTTATTGGTCATCAATTACTAGTATATGCTAAACATCACCCAAAGTATTTCACATTCATTGTTTTGTGTAATCCTCTGAGCAATTTTATGAAGTAAATGTTATCATCTCCATTAGATGAAGAAATTGAAGCTCTGAGAGACTGAGCAATTTGCCTCCGGTCACACAGCTGGAAAATAATAGAGGCAAGATTCAAACCTAGTTCTTTCTGACCTCTTGCCAAAGGGCTTTTAACTATTGCTCTGCTTTCTCAGCACTGTACTGCCATTTGGAGAGGGCCGCTGAGGGCACCGGAGAGGACGTTCTGTGGGACTCCTGGGTCTCTGCCCGGGAAACCCTTTAAGAACTAAGGTTATCTAGCTGACTCTTGCGCATGCGTGCACATCACACACACACACACACACACACACACACACGTGTAAATGCTCTGCTCTTGCATATACATGATCCCCCAAAGGTACAGAAACCTTCAAGTTGATGGACTACCTCTTTGCATTTCTTAGTCCAAATTCTCAAGAATCAGGTCTGGTTAAAGAATCATGTATTCGTCCTTGATGCAGTCAATCACCAAATCCACAGAGAAACCAGGGGATGCTGTTTATAATTTAATCTTTCTCCTCAGACAGTCTGCTGCCACTGTGGTCAGTCAGACCCTTTTCCATGTCCAGGGACTGGGTGACCTTTGAAAAGTTACTTAACCTCTCTTTTCTTCTTCTGCAAAATGCAGTTAATTATACCTACTTTGCAGAGGAAAACACACACACACACACACACACACACACACACACACACACACACACACACACACACTGGAAACAAACATCCATCGATGGATGAATGGGCAGACAAAACGAGGTATGTCCACACAGTGAAGTTCTATCTGGCAATAAAAAAGGAGCAGCTTACATACGACATGCTACGTCATGGACAGACTTCAAAGACGTTATGCTGAGTGAAAGGAACCAGACACAGGAGACCACATGGTGCATAATTCCATTCATGTGAAATGCCCGGCAAAGGAAATTTATTGACACGGAAGATAGCGTAGTGCTTGTCTGGGGGGTGGGAGTGGGGATTAACTATACATGGGCCTCAGGGTTCTTCCTGGGGGGATGGAAATGTTTATTCTAAAATTGATTTATGACTTAGTAACTCGTAAAGTTACTAAAAGTCTTTGACCTGTACACCTAAAATTGCTTTTTTTTTTTTTAACCTGTGGTAAGAAATACATAACAAAATGTGCCATTTTAATCACTGTTATGCGTGTGGTTCTGCAGCATCAAGCACATTCACATTGAACCCTCATTGCTCTTCACCTTCAGAACATTCTCATTTTCCCCAACAAAAGCTCTGTCCCATTAAATAACTCCCGACAACCCCTCCCCCAACCCCTGGCAAGCACCATTCTACGTTCTCTTCTATGGTTTGATTATTCTAAGTACCTCATGTAAGTGGAATCATACAATATTTGTCCTTTTGTGACTGCCTTATTTTGCTTAGAATAGTGTCTTCAAGATTCATCTGTATTGTGGCATATGTCAAAATTTTCTCTTTTTTTAAGGCCAAGTAATATCCCACTGTAGGTATATAACACATTTTGTTCATCCATTCACCCATTCATCCATTGATGAACATTTGTGTTGTTTCCACCCTTTTTTTTTACTATCATGAATAAGACTGCTATGAATATGGGTATATGAATATCTTCAAATTGGTGGATTTTATAATATGTAAAACATATCACAATAAAGTTATTATAAAATAAAAAACAAAATATTTTTTTCGAAATCCAGAGACCTAATAAATGGTAGATGCTGTTATCAATAACTTAAAAATTGGTAAATTTGATCAACAAAGTGAGTGTTTAAAAATTAAGTTAATTTAATAAAAAAGATATGTTCATGATTAAGAAAAAGGAAAAATACAGAAAAGTATAAAGAAGTACCTGTAATCTCACTTAGAGATAAATAAACACTGAAAGGTTACTACACAAAAGCTACTAGATTTTAATTTTACTTTAACTGAGTAGAAGAAACTGAACTGAAATGAAGAAGTTGCTGAACTATCAGGTTCTCCATTTACAACAAAGCTATTCATTCCTAAACTACCTCTCCAGAGGCAACATAAGTTTTAAAAAATATTGAGTTTGTTTTTCTATGTAAATACATGTTACTTGAGGGTCAGAGTTTAATTCCCCCACATGGACAATTGTTTCATAAAAATCAGAGGACATTTCTGATGTTTAAACAAATAAAGTTGTCTGAGTTTTTAGATGAAAAACAAAAGAACAAAGTTGAAAATCTTAGCAAGCTTTTAGATAAACTTCAACGAGAAATTACTAGGGAATGACTAGTTTGCAAGCCAAATAACTACAAAGATGACAGGTCACTGATTTAAAAAGCAGGAAGAGCCCTGGCGAGTTTGGCTCAGTGGATAGAGCATTGGCCTGAAGATTGTAGGGTCCCAGGTTCGATTCCGGTCAGGGGCACATGCCCAGTTAAAGGCTCGGTCCCCAGTAGGGGGTGTGCAGGAGGCAGCCGATCAGTGATTCTCTCTCATCATTGATGTTTCTAGCTCTCCCTCTCCCTTCCTCTCTGAATTCAATAAAAATATGTATTTTTTTTAAAAGCAGGAAGGAGTGATTGTAGCTGATGTCTAAAATAAATCCCAGGAGGCTGTATATGAATTCTGAATGTCAGTCCGTTTTCTCCTCCCTCTGAATTGATTGGTTCTTGGTTTTGAATGTGTCTGCTCCAGCCCGAATGTTCTCACTCAGAAGTGGAGAGTAAACACATTCCA